ATTTAAAAAAATTCTACACAAGCCCTAACAGGAGTTTTCAGGGAACTTTTCTGATCCCTCTGCTCCACTCATGCGAAAAGGAACAAATGCTGCACATATGCACCTCAGCCTGTACAGGCAAGTAAGCCGGATGGGGGAAAACAGCCTGGCCTCTTCTAAATGCTGCAGCCCAGTCAGAGAGTTCTTCTTCTCAGGAGGATCTTGCAGAGCATCTGTTTCTAGGCTAGGTTGTCCTTTCTTGTTCTTTGATGTACTTCTGGCTTTGGCACAGGGAGTGACTGGAAAGCTCAGACATCTCCATTTTGCATTGGCACTCATGGATCAGCAAAATGTTCCCTTTCTGCTTTCCTTTTACACTCAAAAAGAAGATGAAGTACTGTACTGTGCAAATATTTGCAATGGAGAAAGTCCTAGCAGCACGACAGATTTTCTTGTCCAAGAATCTGACAGAGATGACAAAGTGGCTATTTTTCCATCAAATAAATTTATACCAACACCTTTTAAACCATAGGACTTCGCGTGATTCACCTTACAAAGAAGGATCGCTGCTGACATGTGAGCGTTATACTGAACTCCCAAGCCCCACTCCTAAAATGCAAATTAGCAGAGTTAACATTTAGAAAGTGTAAAACTGGCTATTCCTGAAGCTGAGTAAGGGCATTTGCAGATTCCCCTCACTTAGTGGCTGATGTCAGGCACAATGAATTTAATCTTAGGATGGAGGGGAGTGCAGGGGGATGGTCTGCCAGCCTGTCCAGCTGTAATATCCCCTAATTGGAATTGTAATTGTGAACTGAAACAGCATCTGCTTAACTGTCATCCTAGCCTCAAGACTGGAACTTTTTGCTTGTTGTGAAGGATCATGAGAAAGACTACACAGAGCGTGAAGATGAAAACAGTGAGATTAGAACCATTAAATACAAACACCGAGACACAGCTGTCCATACTGCTGGTGAACTCAAGGAAATATAAATGCCAAAATGTATTTGACATTCATGATGTACTTTGGCATGGGAATTTAGAACACTCAGTGGACTGCAAACTTCTCGTTTACAATTTTTAAAAAAGTTTCAATGCTAGACACACTGAAGAGGTAAAAAGTAAAGACAAATCTAACCAGAACTGGTAAAATCCACTCTTTTTTTCACGGGAATAAGGGGCAAATTAGTTCAGCTGCTATGACTGGAGCATCTGATGGCAGTGCATCATGCTAGGAGTCTGGGCTTCGCCTCAAATGGCCTGCCTGCATTAGCGGTACTGCTGAGCTTTGGAATAGGAGATGCTGTCCATGATGTAAGAAAGAGCACACTGTATGGAGGTCATTTTCCTCAAAGGAAATCGAAGGTCTTGCATTAATTTGTTTATTTAAGTGGTGCTATGAGGTTTAATTAAGTTTTTTAAAGCACTTTGAGACTATAAGACACTATATAAGTGCTCCTGCTGTTATTTGGCAGTTATTTTCTACCTCAGGATGTCCTGGTTTCTACCTCAAAAGACTCTTGCGTTTGGGAGGACTAGCAAATGCTACAGATGCCCTCCTGTATCAGTTGTACTTCAGGGGGGGATGGGGGTAGGAAATGGAGAAAAAACATCTCCACAGAAACTCCACAGCTACATAAACTGAACGGCCAAAAAAAGCAGTGCTTCAAACTAACAGTAAGTGTTGCAATTTCTTGGTTTGCAGTGGCCCTAACTCTGCCTGCAAAGACCTCTATGGAATAATTACAGGCCAGAGACACTAATCCTTTACACTTCTGTGCCAGACCTATAATTGCAATCATATATTATCATTCTTTGGAACACATATCCAATAGTGTATGCAACAAAGTAAAAATTCTACTATTAAAAATAAACTCAAGATGATGCCGTGATGCTTAAGCCATCTTTTTCTCTTTTGAAACACAAGAAAATATAGTGCTGCTCATGACATTTGTACAAAAACTAATGAAAATTAAAAGTGGATTTATAAGCCTTGAAATGTATCCTTCTTTTCTTTGCCTTCTGTTGCAGGTTAATTACTTTAAATTTCTCCATCAATCATTTTCTGATTTCCAACTCTGTTATATTCAGTTTTAAACAAAGGATGGAAATTTCAGGAAGGTCAGTGGTCTTCTGCTCACAATAGTTCAGGCACAAGCTATCCAAATAAAATAAGGAAACCTCCTTACTCTACCAATGTCCATACACTGAATGGAATTTGTTTCTATTAACTATTTCCTTACGTCCTGTAACTCAACAAGCAAATTTGAAGTTGCTGCTACTTTTATTATTTTCTAGTTATTAATAAACTTCATATAAAATGATTAATCTTCTAGAAGGTGTAAACAAAAAAAAAAATACCCTTTTTCTTACATCAAAGTAGAAAGCCTCAACTAAAATAAAAGACAATAAATCAGATTTTGACCACCTTGATGAAGCAGCCATTCATTACCAGAAAACTAAGGTTTCTGAGAAAAGTCCGTTATCTTCACAGGAAATCAGCCCTCCTAATCGCTGATTAGGAGCACCTGCATGTTAAAAGAAAACCAGAAAAACAGTTTTTGCTAGAAAACTGCCTTTGGCTACTATAGTTTTGAGCACCAGTTTTGATGCTGTGGATAGACTAGGCAAGATCATCTGTGGGAATACCATCACAGCCAAATACTCACTTTACCTTCTCATTATATTTTTGTCACTCCAACTAGCACTATCAAAAATGGCCATTGAAAAAAGAATAAATACTACCCATTTGTAAGTCCACTGCTTTTAGCTGAGAACGGTTGGCATCAGAAGAGAATCAGGGCAAACAGTACAGGTAGAAAGGAATACCTAGGTGTCTTAGTGGTTGAAGAAAAAAAAAGTCAGTTTGGAAATCATAGCATCTTTGGTCTATACTGCTAACCTCATGTACAACAGTGGCTGGCAGGCCAGAGAACAAAACCAGGATGAAGATTTTGCATCAGTTAAATCAGATTGCGTCACAGAAACAGTACACCGATTTGAGGGAAGCCCTCACAAGAGAAACGCTCAGCACAGCAAAACAAGGGATTGAGGCTGGCAAATCTACAATAATTTGGACATTTAGAAACTAAACTTTTAAGAAACTGGCTGTTGCTGTATTGCAACTATTAAAATTAAAAAGGTAAAATGAGAAGCATATAGGTGTGCCTATCACATTCAAAAGCCGTAACTAATCCCAAAGGATAGAACAGTCCTCTATGGGACTGGAAAAGGATGCGCCTCAGATACAATTGCACCCTGGATCCATCCTGACATGGTGCAGCTCTCATCTGCCACACAGTAGAAATCTGCCATGTTCAACAGTTCATTTACCTTGCTAGAAAAACAACTCAATTCAGCAAACTCCCAAATTCACTTGACGCAGCTGCTCTCAAACCCCTTGTTACAGTTTAATGAAATGTGCTGACTGAGCTGTTTCATAGTAAATATTAGTTATAGCAGAACTCTCCTCCCAAACTGAGTCTTTTAGGAGCAAGAGGATTCTGCAGCACCGTAGCACTGACACAGAATCGTCCATAACTCACAAATAATAAAATACCATCTGAGGGCACAGAGGTTATTGCCATCAGCAGCTCCCTATGGAATTGTAAATCATTTGAACCAAGCTTACCCTTTTTTGCTAACTTCAGGCTGAAATCACTGTATATACAGGATTTCACTGTCTTACACAGTGTATGAAGACTGTACCTTTAGCTCCTTCATTTAATCTTGCTTCACAAATGAGTGAACCCTGAACAGGCTGCTCTTTCCAGATGAAAATAAGAAAGATACCTCGAAAGCACTAGCAATTTGTCTTAGCAGAAGTTTAAACCTTTGGGCTACTAGCTTGCCAACCATCTGATAAACCATGTGGATTAACTGTGAAATGCACTGTGCACTGAAGTTCAGTGGGATACACTATGGGACATGGCAGTGAAATTCCAAGGAATATTATTTTTGCGAGCATCTGCAGGTCCAGGCCTTTGCCCAACACACAGGTTATGTTATTTCTGTCACTGTGATTAAGATATGAAAAATACTGAACATCCTTCAAATTAAATTAACTTTCAACTCCACTGTATGTGTTTTCAATAATGTGGCAATGTGTCACCTTCAGAAACACTGCAGCATCTATAATCTAGTGTTTCTGTGAAGTCCCAGTGCCCCAGGAAGTGAAATTTTCCCTATGAGAGCACAGTGGGAATGTAATTCAAAGGTTACTGCTCACAGTAGAAACATTTTTCTTAAGAAAACATACTCATCCCATTGAAAACAAAAAAGCCAAAAGCAAGCAGTATATTTACTGCAAGCAGTATATTTACTCTACACAACACATTGAAATGGGTCAATCTCAACTCTTGGTCCCAAATGCTTCTTTTTAAGTGAATGCTGTGAATGGTCACTTGCAACATATGTTTATTCTTTGACTGTATAAACTTCAGACATGGTAAATAAAATGTTATTTTGATGTACAGCCCTTTTCTGAGTCTTGGTACGTCATGCTCAGTAAACATTTTTTAAAGCTGTTATAATTTCCTGAATTCTCAGTTATTAAATTAATAGAAAATAAACATTAAATTATTACTACTTGTTTTGAATTGAAATAAAAGTGTTTCTTTGCAATGAAAAACAGAGGCTGGAGATAAAAAAGGCTGTTAGACCATTGCTCTGTTTTTGTGTCAACACCTGAAAGTTCCTCCTGCAGATTTTAAGGTGTTTGGCTCAGTTGAGTTCTAGATGTCCCAAACAATGACCTTTCTATGATTCATTTAAAACACTAGTCTAGCTTTTACTATATGACCAATTTCTGCAAGATATTCAAGTTATGCTTTCCCTATTTCACTTTCAGGTCCGTATTTATATTGTTAGAACCACTAAAACCATCTCCTCCTTTCCATGGGTGCCCTTCACATACCTACATTGTGTTATAAGCTACTGTTGTCTATCACCTTCATGCCCTTTTCTTTCAGCTAAAGTTTACAACATCTGTGACTGGAGTTGATACAGTTCAAGTACTTCACCTTACACAGAACTGATACTGTGTGAAAGACTGTGTCCCGGTTTTGGTTAAAACAGAATCAATTCTCTTTTAGTGAATTTTCCTTACAGCTCAGTTCTTCTAAATAACTGCATTTTTCTGAAGTTGGCTGCGTATTTTACAGACAGCGTCCTTTCCAAAGATGATAACACCTAATGTTTATAGTTATACTGAGCTAACGGTAGGAATGGAAGGCAGAAAAATGCTCATGTTTGTAATTATTACTATAGCAGCCAAGGTCATTGATAGACCTGTTAGGTTCCATAAGTGAGGAGTTGTGAAGGGTGGTACTTGCAGGGAGGGGCGGACAAGACTGGTGACCCAAGGTATTGACCAGCGAGATATTCCACGACATGCACGTCATACTCAGTTTAAAGCTGGGGTATCACAAGGGTCTCACTCTCTCTGTGCACGGCCAGCTTCTGAAGAGGACCTTGCTCGTTGTCCTGCCTGCGATCATGATCCAGATTCCAATCTGTGCATTCCTGAATCCAGTTGCTGTCTACTGATGAGTCCAGTCCAGGACTTCCTGGTGCTGCCTGGCAGCTGCTGGTGGGACGCCAATGCCTGCAGCACCCAACTCTGGGAAACTCAGTATCACTTTTATATATTTTATTTCTCTTATTATTAATTTTATCAGTATTATTAGTGTTATTAGTAAAGCTGTTTTAATATTCAATCTGTAAGTCTCTGTCCCTTTTCCTCCTTTTTCTCTTCCCCTGGTGGGAGGGCACGGGTTAATAGCGAGCATCTGCCACTCTAATTATTGATGCCCTGCTCTAAACCTTGACAGACTGCAACTCTGCCAGCAGAAACTGGTCATTCTTCCATATAATGTATCATGTTGTTCTTTTCCATTGAGGATACAGCCCCTTCAAGGATTTCAGGACTTCTTGCTGTGCTTACACGCACTTGTAACATGTCGAGACATGACCACAGGACTGTTTCCCAGCTCTCGGCTGTGGAAGCACCACCTCTGGGAGACACTTCTTGCTTTTCACATGATCACAGTTTGGCAAGAAACCCCTCATCTCTCCAAGATCCTCAAACTTGACTTGGATTACAGAGGCCCCACAGAGTTTGTCTGCACCATTGATGATACGGATTAATTACTTCTCTGGAAAGCCATACTCATAATTTCTGTCAGAATCACCTGAGTCTACTTTAAACACATTTAAACACAGGCAGGACAACAAAAACAAGTTTCATTCTAACAAGGCAAATAGTTATGTTCTTGATTACAAAATGGAAAACACATTTACAAAAGAGAAACCCATCAAGAAAATACAGAAGACAGACCTGACGTTTAGAGTACTTTTGTCTTCCGCCTTTTATTGAGTTTGTCAGTTGTAGGTGTGGCAGGATGTTTCAAACCTAGAATTATTTTCATCTTTTTAACCTATTATTTGTTTCTCTTTTCTACTTCCCTGTCTGTTAAATCAAGAGCCACTTTCAGCTATATCTTAGACAAATCACTAAAGCCAAACCAAATCAAACTAAACCAACCTTCTCTCCCCAAAACCAGCCCTGTTATTTGTGGCACCAGCACAATTTCACGTGAACATGTGTGAACATATACATTTTTCCTCTTAAAATTCAAAGTTTTCAGGGGAACGATCTACTAGTAGCTAGCAAAATGAGTTTACAGTCTTGTTTCATCTCTAGCAGACATATGAACAAAAATTTCTGGAAGTATGACTAAAGGTGAGCCTTTTGGGAGAGGATATGCTGCTGACCACTAACTACATGCCAGATACTGTAAGGCTTTTCGTTTCTATTGACTATTGCAAAATAAGAAAGATCATTTTATATGCAGTGCATGGCTATCACTAAATAACAACCATGCTTTGGAAGAGGTGGCTTTGAACTACATTCTCATTGTTGTTCAAAGCATCACCAGGCAGCACTTCTAGATATCACAAAATAGAACTGCAGCAGTCATATGTAAGAAAATGTATGAGAAGCAAGCCTCTAAATATTCTAGTTCACAGATATGTGAAGTCGTCTGCAAATTAATTCTATAAATGACATTTGTCTCATGATGAAAACAAAGCCATATTAGTTATGGCCCTTCTGGCTGAGACTTTTTGCTTTGCTGATCCACCACTGCTGCTTCGTGTTGATTTAACTTTGTATCACCACAATCAGGGAGTTGAGTCCTTCTCTGAAATGGGATCTGGGCTAATGTCGCTTTGAGTCAATAGCTGACACCTCAAAGAGAGGCAAGAAGTCCTCAACAAAAGCCCTTGTTCGTCTGTGGAAGTGCTGTGTGAAGGTAAAATTTAACACAGAATAAAAGCTGCTGACACACTGAGCTCATATGAAGGGCTGCTTGAATTGAAAATGGAATTCCCTCCACCTGTGTTTATTCTCCTTTTACAGTCCCCTTCTCTGCCTATGGCAGGTAGTGTCTTTGAAGGTAGGCACACTTGCACATAAAGGCAAACAGTAAACCGCTATCAACAAATGGCAGGAAAGTGAAGCTAGGTTCACAAGAGAAGGGGGAACACTACAGAAATAGGATTTTATAAACTCTATTCATTCAAAAATACGATCTAGCCACAGCTATGGTCAAATGTAGACTGTAGAATCCATGCTGAGAAAGAGCCTCCTCTATATGAGGGCTGATCAGCCCAATTCTTGGAATCTGGTGCTTTTCAGTTGCACCGACTGTCCCTGTTTTGTCTCAAATTAGGTATCAGTCAAATTGGAGCTGCCTTTCAAGACGCTATTTGGGAAGGAAGATGCAGAAGGAGTTATTTGGTTTTTATAAATCCTGCTAGTGTTTATGCTATTCTCCTTTCCAACCAGAATAATTTCTCCTTAAACCGATCTCCTGCCCCAGACAGCTCTATGTTGCTAATCATTTGCATTTTCCCTGGACCTTGGCTGAGTAAATGGACAAGGATGATCTTAGTTTGAGCCTGAACTAAGCTAACTGAATTTGTAATGGGTTCAGTCCTATATTTTCCACACAAATAGCAACTGAAACAGTCAGTCAATAAATAAAAGTGCTTTAAGATTAACACCTGATAATGTGAAAGGCACAAGACTGCAAAGAAACTTTGCTCCTGTAACTCTCCAGGGATCTTGCGACTTACAATTAGAATAACAGAGAGTGCTTTTTGAACAAGGATCTGAAAGCCAGGGGAATGCGATGATGTTTCAGCTCCATGTAGCTGTAGTATGTGCAAATAGAATAGCAGATTAAACAGGAAAAAAACAACCCTATCTAACAAAGCAGTTATTCTACTGATGCCTTTAGGTGACATTTTAAACCACCGGTGACCACGGAGTATCCAAAGGAAATAAAAGATAAAAAACTTATAACAAGCTTGTTGTTCCATTGAAGGGTTCTGGAGATATCATCAAGCTCTGTTGGCAACAAAAAGAACTAACAAAGTTAAAGATAAGACTGATGTACCCGCATAACAAGCCTGTTATTCCATTGAGAGATTTCTGGTGATACTATAAACCAGAAAAGCTGAGTTAGGGTGGTTTGCAGTTTCAACAGAATCCCACATTACGTCAATGCAGTTTTTCCACCTGACTGCATTTTTAATACAGAGGTATCCGGAACAATTAAACAATTTTTTAGTTTATTTTTGTTGTTGTTTAAAAAGTGCGATGGACATCTTATTTTGTAAGTTGCCTATTATGTTTTTAAATTAAAAACTGAAATCTGAGCGAACCGTTTGCAACTGTGAAGAATAATTAAGCAGCAGAGTTGAGCCAGCAGTTTTAGTGAAAAACCTGGCTTCTACTCACTCTCCCATTGGTGTGGGCCTCAAAGGTTTAAGATGAAGTAAGCATCTGATAAGGCAGTTCCAAAAGAGAGAGAACAAAAGCCGGAATTACCCCTCTGCCAACGAGGACTAGCAAGCGCTGCCTCAATCTGTTGGATGAAACTGGAACCCAAGTGGCATCTGAAATGGATGCTAACAGCAGGGAGCGGAGAGAAACCCGCACCAAAAAAGTGCAGCACAGTGCAGAGTGGAAAACCTCCTTCAGGAATGAGTAGGAGAGGAGAAAGAATAGAGCAAATCTTCCTCTCACCGAAGAGGTGGATTATTGCTGCAGATGGCCAAACGTGGAAGCGCCGCAGTAAAAGGCAGCCGAGCAACAGGGACTGAAAACAGTGATCAGACTGCTCAGTTTTTGTATTTCTAAAGGTTTTTGTATGATATCCACTCAGGCATCAATCACAACTTTATTAAACTACGAAACAGATGTCAGATCAATGGCTGTATCGGAAACATTTTGAATGACAGGCTGATGATGGAACAATTCCAGTCTCCATACATTATTAAACACATACTAATGCTGCTCTTTCAATGCTGTCCTTACAGGCTCACACACTCTATCCTCCCTCTATGGTATCTTTTTTAATAGCAGACCTAACTGTAGATGAATATTACATAGGAAAAACAAGACTTACTGTAATAAATTATAATAAACTAGTAAACAAAAGAAAAATTTCAAGGTTAAAACCAGTTTTCTGTCTTCACATAAAGCCTCCTGGCATTAAAATTTCATTTTAATACAATTGTAGGAGCTGAGGCTGGCTTGTCAGACTTAATCAGAATATTCAGCATTATCACCTTTTTGTTGTAATCTTGACATAATTTAATTTTAAGGTTTTCTTTACATATTTGCCCACAGCCAGCACACCTATGTAAATGCCTTCTGCTCTTTTTAAGAAGTATGTTTGAAAAATACAAATAAATATGTCAGAAATTGCCTCTCTGGCAGATTCTCTACTTAACTCCAGATTTCAGGTAGATTTGGGGAGGTGATCAGAGCAGCACACTTGCCTCTCAGTTCATCAGTAACGTAAACTGTATTTTCACTGGCAGAAATCAATTTGATTTTCATAAAGGCAGAAAGGAACTATGTTCTTGGTGGACGAAGCGCAAAGCACAGTAAGCGGGAGATGCAAATGCTGTATGAAATTCTCTCACAGCGCACGAACACAGGGTTGAGTTGCCACAAACCACAGACCGTTATCTTCTCTTTTCCCCCAGTGCCCCATACCATCCTTCAGGCTGAAATATTTGCTGCAGCTGTATGTTTTTGTGAGGTGGGCAGTGACATCAAGTAAAGATGGATTTGCAGCTTTTCACTTGGCCTGGCATCTTGATAGCCTTAGTGCATGCTCCTGATTAAGGAGTGCTTAGTATAGCACAGATGTCTGATTTTATGCAGACAATTCAATAATAAATAAGAAAGTTAAAAAAGATAATAAAATTAAATCTGCATTCTTTGGGGGTTTTGGAGAGAAAGAAAACTTCTTGTTCCTGTTTATGGCAAATGGTTTCCAAAACAAAATTCTTCGTGTTTTTTGGGGCCAGTAACTGAAGGATTCCCATAGCACAAGGGGAAGGCAGCTGGCTGTGAGTGGGGCTGTAGAAAAACTGTTCTGTTCTGGCTGCTGAACTGGATACTCCCAGCTGGAAGTGAGCAGCCCTGCCAGCATTTAGCCAGAAATGCCCCTCCCCGGCTGGTGACCGTCAGGGATGGAGGCAGCTGCCCCTCGAATTCCCATGGGGTTTTAATGTGTGCTTCAGGGCTGAGAGATCAAAACTCAAATCCAATTTTTGGTATCGAGACAGGAATTGGCAGAGGCCACTCTTACTCAGGTAACTCGCCTCACCGAAGGGCTGTAGTGCTCCTCCATGAAGGGTCTCCCCTCTGGAACAACTCCAGCCTGGACAGAGTATTTTAATCTTACAGAGAGCATCAAAAGGCAGAGTAATTCCCACAAGATATGAGGCATGCATAGGCCCGTATGCTATTTCTCTAGCTTACTTGCTAGAGAATAGATTTTCTGTTGAAACTGTATTTTTGAAATCCAACATTCATCTTGAATCAGGCAAGTTTGGAAGTGGGTTTGAAGTCAACTTTCACTTAAGTGACCACAGGGGTCTGTTTTGGCTGAAAAGTATGTTATGTTAATTAGCAAAATGGTTTATCTAAGGGAGTGAATGTATGAAAGCCTTTTAATAAAAACTGCTTTGCATACTACAAGCTTTTAAGTTAAATTGTGAGTTACAGCCAGAGTTACTGAGCAGAATTGTTTGTGACTTCTTGGCTTGTTTGCTTAAAAAATCTGGCTGGTTTCTTGAAAGATAGCTGGTGGCTCTTTAGGGCACCCTGTTGCACACTTTTAAGGATAAAATTAAAAAATATCTCATAACAGAAATGTATAGTTATGTCTTATATCTCCCATAAAACTTAGTCCTGCTGAGGTACTCACAGTAGCATGGTTTGGACTCGGCTCAATTCGTCATGGCTTTATGCTCTCAATGCTCCTCTCTCTGGACTGAAATTCAGACTTCATAATAAATGAGGTAAAAATATCTCTAAATAAATCATATCTCTAAACAGGTTGTCCATTTTCCCCACATTTTTTTTCTGTAACAGAACACATTAGGAAGATTCAATTTCAAGTCAGGATGGATACATCCAACAAAACTGCTACTGGAAGCCCAAATCCTGAAGTTTTCCCTTTAATTCCTGACAAGTGGAGTTCTCCGTTACCTCCATGATTATCCTGCTTGCATGAGGAGTTAACTAAATATGGTGCTGATGGTGTTTTCACCAAAGATAAATCCTGCATGTGATAAAATAGGGTGTCGAAAAGCTTATGGATATTGTAACACCCATCAATCATTTACTCTTTCCTGCTTTTTAAGTTTTCTGTAAATGAGCTAGGAGTTTTACAGGTAGTCAGCATAAAACTATATGGTCTACCTCTGAATGTATTTGAAGTTATCAGGGAGTGCTGTGACCTTGAAAGATAAGACTGTGTACAGAGCTAGGAAAAAGAAGGAAAGATTTTCTTTCATTTGCAGTAAAATAAATTCAGGATCTTATTATCACCCACTAGATCATTCACTCTGCCTTCAGAGTCCGTTCCCTACCTCCCCAAATGGATTTGTTACTATGAGCATTGTAAGAGGTCTCAATACAGAAGAGAACATTCGCTGGAAATTTTCTAGTTTGCATTAAGATTGTGAGAAAATGAGTGCAGAAGACAATGTCTGTAAGAGTCCTGCAAGTGAATATGACAGACAGAAGGAAAAATTCATAGAAGCTGCCCAGCAGCACAACCAGAATTCATTTTCCATTTCCTTGTCTTAATTTTTAAACACGCTTTCGAATCACAGTAATTACACATGCAGAAATTCTCACTAGTCTTATTATTTTATCCAATTTCATGTCTTCAGAGGGGAAAAATGCTGATATTCACTTTCCTATTTCTTCTGATTGTTGAATAAAACATTTAAAACAATAAATCATCATATTTTTGTCAGAAATAAATACCGAAATCTCAGATCTTAACAGAGTTCTTTTAAAGAAGGGGGAAAATAAACTGGACTTAGAATTAAATTCAACACATAAGAGAAAAGCAGACCAAGAGAAGTAGTTCAGGAAGAGGAAGAGAAGACCCAATACAGTGGGTTAAGTAACTACACACAGATGTAAATTTATTCAATTAAAAAAAAAACAAAAACAAAAAAACACCAAAGTTTGGAAGTGCATAATAGATCTTTCATGCCATTATTACACAGAGACCATGTGTGCTAAAGATATAAACAGTGTAATGTTTGTGCCTGTATTTTCGTATAAATATACACGAACATGCAGTGTGCACACATTCACATATCAAATATATCAAGTATCTCAAGTATACTGTATGTAGGCTGTTGTATTTTAGGAACTTTTTGGAGTTTTAATAATTTTTATTAAAAGCATTTTTTGCCTTCCTCTGATTCTGGGGGAGTTAATTGAGTCTGACTTGCACAGCTTAAAGAGAAAATAAATGTTGCAATATGCACGTTTAAATGTAATATACTGGAAGCACAGCTGACCTTGACCCAAAATCACATCTCTGAGCCTGGAGCAAACTATGTATGGCTGGCTGCTATAGTGAGCAGTGGATCCTACCACAAAGCCAGAATTCTCATTTCCCAGTGGTATAAAACTTTCTAGATTGACAAGCAAACAATTTCTGACTAAAATCCAAATTGGTAGAGGAGTATTTCCATATTTACATGAGAATTAGTACAGACAATTCCTGCTAAATACAGAGCAGGTTTTGTTGACCTACTGTTTTACTACTCATACTACTCTGTCATTTCTGTTCTATAATAGCTAATGCTGACTGTATGATGGTTCTAGAAACATATTTGTAGATGTAAGTTTGCATGACACAGCAATATGAGGGTATTGTTTGTGTAGTACATCATGTTTGGGTCATATGATGATATGTTTGCCTGGACAGGGTCAGACATCTCTGGACATAAAGAAAAAACAAAGTAAATGATGGCAATATTAAACTGCAAGAAGGTGAAGCGCTGAAAACCCAAGAGTAATAAATTACCTTGAGAAACTCAGTAAGCAATAAATGTTTTGCAATATAGAAAGTAAATAGTATAATCTATGATCTTACCGTTCCTGTTGTGCCCAAGGAAAGGTGGTTCATCTGTTGGGTCAGAGGGCCCATCATGCTTGCTGGCTGCATTGACATAGTGTGGTCCATTGTTGGTGTTATCACAGCACCCTACAAACACAAACCATTTACACTTCAACTTTTCACTTCAAAATAAAAAGCAGCATTCTCTAAGTGAGTGAACCTGGCTGAAAACTTGACATGAATCTTAAAAGAGACTAATATAACTGTCAGACGAAATACGTTTTGTTCCTATTGACAACTAAGCTACACACATACATTATTTGTACTACTAATGAGGCCATTTTATGCCAGTTCCAATTAAGGGTCATTTTTTACTTCGTTGCTTCTGACAAACAAATGCATATGTTCTTTCTATGATGAATGCTACTGTACATTGCAAAATGCCTGTCATTTCTATTTTTCCATATCCTATATGAAACAATCTTACAGATGGAACACATATGTCCCCCATTTTCTCTGACTTCTAAAACCTTCAGTCTCTGAGATCTTCAACCTATTATGGTAATTAACTTCGGGTTTTCCAGTCTCAGTTAAGAACCCTTACTCATGACATTTTATAGCTGATTAAGTAAGACTAGCTATTGACAGTCAGTTTGGTAGTGACACCTGTATAAAACACATACACAGTGTTTAAAAGCATCTTTCTTCTTTGCATGAAAAACAAAGACATTAGTAACAAACAGCATAAGAACTAAAGCAAGAACTAGACTTTGAACAAAAACAAAACAGACATGCCAGAGAAGCTTTGGAGAAAGCTTCTATGCCATTCATATTCCTTGGTTTTTGCTCTCCCGCTCCCCAAGCTCCCATTTTGGTAACCACATGCCTTATTGAAGTGTTGATTCTCTTCAGTGCTGTGGTGTAAAGTTCTATGTCCTGTGTTGGTTAGAGAGAGTCAGAAACAGTGGTCTGCTCTTTATCTTGCAGGTAGTGAAGTAAGGAGGTATTTCGAGCTATTTCTTCATATGAAATAATAGCCCTACCTCATGCATATGTTTGTTTGTATGCATACATTATAAATTTGCACAAACAATCGCAACAGTACATCTGCTACATAGCATGGAAAATATGGATGAATGTTATTTGTTTAGAAAAAAGGAAAACTGACATTTCTTCCGTTGAGATTACCAAGAAAATCCACCTATAAACAGGAATTTAAAATAAACTAGTTCCAAAACCCACAGCACACCTGTTCTTAAGTGTCTGTCTCATGTTTACAGAGAGCTACGTGACTGCATTGCCAAGGATCTGATTAGAAGCAAAAGATGTCAAATTTTCAGTCACAAATAAAACAAACATATTAAAAAAATGCCGGGGAAGTACCAATTCAATTTTTTCTCACCTTCCAGCAATATTTTGTCTATGCATATCATATCTGAGAAGCGTAGATTCTGTAGTCTCCATGAACTCATTACTCGCATGCAATGGTAAAGAGGAGTTAGGCTTAGTTTGGTCAGTCCTTTCTGTAATATCCTCAGCATATGAACTACATACACATTTGTTTTATGTCACATAGTGGATTATGTTTCTTGCACTGACAAGAGTCCCTAGAGAAATCGAGCAAATTACAGAAACTAGCCTCCACAGAATACCTGTCATGATTCCAAATAAATGGTTATAAAACAAGTTGATCAGTGCGCAAGTATCAACCCTGCAACACTTGAGAACACTTTTGCCTCTTTCTTGGCTATATTAATTTGCACTGGTTTACACAGATTAACCCATTAATTAACTCATTCCAATGAACTACCACAGCACTAACCTTCTCCTTGTTGGCACGGGTCCTTACAAATCAAGATAGTCACAAACTTTCACCACAAAATTTCTTTCAAATGTCTTTCAACAGCATAGAGTTAGTATTTTAACTTTCAAAAAGCCCTTCTTTCTTCCTTACATGACATTCTTCTCTTTCATGCTGCTCCTCTCTTTTCACTGAAAAAAATCTACCCTTTTGCTGAAAGAGAGTCTGAAAGCAAATCTGTGTGGCATACACTCATCCGGCCCATTCGGCAGTCCCTGCATAGCAGATTCAGTACAAGAGTCTGAAAGGAAAATTATGTTCTTGCTGTATGTTCAAAATCAGTGGCCTGGGACACCATGCAGCCAGACGAGATCTTAGGGTTTGGACGTCCACCTACTTTTTTGATTATAGTAAGAAATCGTAAGCTTTTATGCTCAGAATGATCCACCCCACAAACCAACCAGCATTTTTACTGTACCAAACCACAAACGCTCAAACCAAATCTGTCAACTGATAAACAGTTCTCAGTTCCCTCTACGAGCACTTGTCTCCCTTGGCTTAGAGAAGGAGAAATGCCTCAGGGCTTTCCGTGACAGGCAAGATGAGCTGCCACTTGTGATGTGTGATGGGGTAAGCAGCAAGTCACACCCGCACCACGGCTTCATGGAGCCCCGCACTGCCAGCAGTAGTGGCTGCAATTAATGTAGGATGTCCCAAAGCCTTAAAATACCAAGTTTCTTGGGCAAAGATGTTTATTGCAAAGGTATGGTTGGAGGAACTTCCTGTGATTACAGATGTGACAGACTGATAGCTATTCCTGTGTATAAATTCAGGAACCTGGAAATGAAGAAAGGGCAGCTGTGAAGGAGGTTTTATGATCTAGTATAGCAAACACAAGTACCAGACACACCGTGGAAAAATCTGATAGCAAATGTCTTTCAGCAGCAAGACAGTTTATGCAAATAAACTATTCAAAAAATATGGACTGGAGAGAAAACATATCTTGGACAAAAAAATTGCTCAGAGACAGTAAAGATATTATTTTTAAATAGAAATTACATATATTCTAGTCTCCAAACATACACCGTTTAATACACTAGAAAAAGAAGTTGGGAATACAAATCAAGTATTTGCAGCTTTCCTAAGACAGCCTACCATGTTTGAAGCTGACAGTTATCTAGAGCAGAGAATTACATGCATTTGCCAGACCATTAATTCACCAGAGTTTGCAGAATCCTCTTGTGATCATTTAGGGAAAAAATTATACTTAATTAAGGAAATATCGTCTGGTTGTTAGGGCAACACCCAGTCTCCAGACCATAATGTGTTTCATAATACATGCTGTCAAGTTCATTCATATTCAACTTTAGCTGTAGAAGACAGTGTTGTCTTGCATCAGATGTTACCATCATATTAAAAGTAATTTGATTCTTTTCAGCCTATAATAGGTCTTTGCTGATAAACATCCACTTGAGGACTGGCAAAGGCTACAGCAAACATATTTTTCATCGTAATCTGTTTGGATATCTGATTTTAGCGAGTTTGTAAACAGTACGGAGAAACATCTTAGCATGGCATAATACTACTGAAGGCCCAGCTTCGTTGAAAAAACCTGTAGAAGAAATTATGATGAGGCTTTTGCCACTGTCTTTGCCAAAATAAGTAGTTGACCTGCCAGTTTCTTAGGTCTGCCCTGTTGCTTCAGTATGATTAATTTTTTATAATTCCTGCAAGAAATTTGGCAAGATATTCTTGGCATATGACTTGTCATACAATTCTGTCAATGCTAAAATGGCTTTAAAAAACATTAACAGGGCAAATGGTAAAGAATCTATGATATAGAAGAAAATGCATCATTTTTGTCACACTGTGATAAACCCAAGACAAGTTCATTGGCATACAGACCTTAATCCCTCTTCATAGAACCACAGAATCATTGAATGGTTTGGTTTGGAAGGGACCTTAAAGATCATCTGGTTCCAACCCCCCCTGCCATGAGCAGGGACATCTTCCACTAGACCAGGTTGCTCAAAGCCCCATCCAACCTGGCCTTGAACACTTCCAGGGAGGGGGTACCCACAGCTTCTCTGGGCAACCTGTTCCAGTGCTTCACAACCCTCAGAGTAAAGAATATCTTCCTTTAATCTAAATCTGCCCTCTTTTAGTTTAGAGTCATTCCCCTTTGTCCTATCACTACACACCCTTGTGAAAAGTCCCTCTCTGTCCTTCCTGTAGGCCCCCTTCTGGTACTGCAAGGCTGCTCTAAGGTGTCCCTGGAGCATTCTCTCCTCCCTTCTCTTCTCTCTCTTCACTTTATTTGAAAGATCTTCCTGTTTTAAAATGCTCTAAGCTCTATGGACATACCTTTCATATGAGAAAGTGAATATATTTATTTCAGAACATTTTCTAGTCTACCACTTGCAAAGAAAGAAGCCTCACTTCATCAACTACAAACACTGTACACGCCCTGCATGGCAACAAACTGAAATCACAGGAAGGACACAAAATACAGCCTGCTTATTATATTAAATAAACTATCTTTAAGTACTTGCCAATACCAAAAGGCCTCAGCAAAAATAAAGTTCATGTTGGTGCAACGACACATGCCACTTTATGTGCCTTGAAGGGTGGGAAAGTGACATCAGAAATAAAAAGTATATTAGGAGCTTTTAGGAACAGAGAGTTCACTAGTTGAGAGATGCACTTGGGGCCAGTGGGAGGAAGGATTAGTTAGTCCCAGCTTTCTAGAATAATGAACTGTATTAAAGGCTTCTGTTTTATTCCAGTGTTCTAATACTGATATTGGACTTAATGCACAAATGCCAGCTGAATAAATAGCTTTTAAAGCTTACAGTAAGCATCTGCTTATTTTAAAGTTTACTTTTTCTTTATTTAGGAAGTTTTAACAAGTTAAGCATACTTACAAATTCTGCTTTGTAAATACTGGCCAATGTAAAGCCAATAAACATTACAGCAGCAAACGTACTTTTCAAATCTGTTTACAGACACATTGTGCAGTCATATAAGCACTAGTTCATTCCATCTGAAAAGTTATTACCATACAACCAAGAGAATGTCTTTATGTTATCGAGAACATGTTGTTTCTTGAGGTTTTATTAAACTGAGTGAAAGGATGACTTTCCTTATACTTATCAGACCATAGGCGTCTATCAAGAATTAATATAAAAAACCCAACAGGCACACTTTTTTTGCAGATGTATGTACTCTCTCTGCATACTGAATAAATGATGACCATATTTATTTTGGTTTACTGTTCTGTCTGCATCGACTTGTCTCATCTCCTTGGGCTGCCTCTTAGAGGAAGCAGAAAAAACAGGGTCCCCTT